ATAAGTCAAACAACTCGCGATGAAGTGGATCTCCTGAAAGCGCTCGTAATCTACTTGATCATTCAGCATACGTGAATTACTCAAATACGTAGATTTGGTTTTGCTCAGAATCAGTTTCCGATTTATGAGACTAAAACTTTTTAAGAATATTTTTCAGAATTAAATTTACTTGAACAATTGCGTTATCTTGATGATCAGCAATATATGTTGTCGTTCGTTTTCTTGGAGCACAAATGCGCAGAATAGACCACTGAATGATGTGCGAGCTCGATATTGCGATTAGTTTTTGATTAACGTATCTGTTTTTGATTGAAATTTGATTGAAATCATAAGGTGTGGAATTGATGTGAGCTGATAATCTTTGCACAGAGCATTGCTCGTTTCGGTTGATAAATGAAGTGTGGAAGTGTTTGGTTATATGTCAACAATTAGCAGTTGTTTCGTTGATGGCGATTCTCGATTATTCGATTAATAGATTCTCGACAAATGAGTGCAAAAATGAGCGTAGTAATTCGTTTCTGAAATGCCATCCGATCAAAATCTATTCAGAACTCTCTTGTTGATTCTTTAGAATTCTTCAAGATATTTTCGAGCGTAAATAAACATTCTTATCATCAATACTATTGTTTCATTTGTTTACATCGCATTCAATCAAGCGAGAGAGTGTGCATAAATCACCTTCAAGCGCATCCATTCAATGCTGATCAATCATGTGCAATCGTGCCAGGTGTTTATAACATTAAATGAACATTCACCAATACAAACGAATATTCAATAATGCAATCAAACAACACCACGCATTCATTCACTGTTGATAATGACGACGCATTATCATTGTTTTTGAGTTGTTCAAAGAAGATTTTCTCCAAATATTTTGAACAGAATTTACTTCATAATGCGATACAACATTTCATATGATGTAACAGAAATTTATTTGCTTATGTATACATCGATAAGCCATAATATATTAAGTAATTGGAAATACATTCAAGTTATGCACATATAGAGTGGGAATGAATAAATTTGAGCCACTACTGATCATTGAGCAATCAACCCTTCAGACTGATAACATCGCCTGGAACGTCACATAACACAAACATCCTCTTGACGTGACTCAGTTAAGGACAACATCGCAAGATCCAACATCGTTTCAAAGTCTTCCGGTAGAAGTTGTCCTAGTCGAAAGAGAATAACATGTTCTGCACGTTCGACAGATCATGTTCCATACGATATATTCTGTGTGATTGTATACTGGCAGCAATATACACTCACAGTGTCTATTGTGCAGAAACATGAATAAATGAACAAGTAAACAAATAAGCGAATGAATAACTATCAAAGTATGGAATGCAAAGCTGATAGAGTTCAAATAAGAGATGACCAGTTATAGGAAAGAAACAACTATCGTAGAAAGCCTTATGAAAAATATTTGTAAGAAGATGAATTAACTGATGGTTAATGACCGTCGGATACGTAATGCTCGCACATTAATGTGGATAATTCTTCAATATCATGTATAGCAAGTTCGATCTGAACAAATAATAGCTGAACTAGTTTTGAAAGCATGAAACTTGGCATAACAGAAGTTCTGTGAGAGGTACCAGCAACTACTTGATATATGAATTAAGAGAACGTAATAAAAAATGAATTCGTGATTTTTAGGTTATGGCGATGTGGCTTGTTACACAGTGGCTGGTCGTGTGGTGACAGTACTTTACGCATGCGTTGGTATCCCGTTGATGTTGATAACGTTGAATGATCTCGGCAAATTCCTCTACAAAGCAATCAATCGAATTGTAAAACTTTGCAAATGTCGCAAATGTTGTACATTTTTTAAAACGAAACCACAACAAATAGCACCCTCGGTGAGCACTTGCTATGAGCAAGACGTGGAACTTGGTCTGCCAAACGTCGGTCGCTCGGTGTCAACAGTTCAACAAGATTCAGTCGAGTTTCAACTGAGCATCGACGCAGATGAGGTGATGACAACGGATGAGTCGAACGAGGTGAATCTGGAGCAAGAGCTTGTGCAACCAGGACCACCGCCTCGTATGCCGGTCATGGTGGCGGTTGGCGTGACCGTTGGATGGATCTTCTTTTGTGCGGCCCTTTTTAAAGTTTGGGAGGCGAACTGGACGTACGCCGAGAGTTGTTACTTCATGTTTATTAGGTGCGCTTATTTTAAATTACTGAAAATATCGTTATTTTCATAATACATTAGCGTTTGCAATATTTCAGCTCAATTTGTGATCTAAAGTTTTTTCGATTTGATATATCGTTAACTTTTTGCATTTCCTCTTCCTAATAGGCACAATGTAAAAAACTATCATTGCCCATTCACTTGAAATTACATATCATAAACCGCATTAATTAGATTTATCCGTTAATTCGGATTGTTTTGCGTACAGTTGAGATTAACAGCAAGATGAATTCTAATTTTAAGTTGTTTCGCATTTTAGCTTATCGACTATTGGTCTCGGTGATGTGGCCGTTAAACGCCGGGAGTAAGCCGAAATTTATCATTTGTCATCATTTCATGTTTACTTTCATGATTGTTTAGCTGAGCATCCATCTTATTGGAAACTAATGGGAGAAGAAGGAGAATATTTGTCGTTCACTAAGCATTTCTTCGTGATTCTTCAGACTGTGGAATTGGATTGCTTAAATTTCGTTTAAATTTGCTGATTTCAGTTTGATGGTTATATGTTTTGTGTTTGTGATAGTTGGTCTTTCGTTAGTTAGTATGTGCATTAATGTTATTCAAACCGCAATCGAAGATGTCTACATGAAACTTCTGATGAGACTTCTTGTTGAATATCAATCCAAGTTAGCTGAAGGTTACACGCACATTAATACTTCATTTTGTATTATATAATATGCATATAAGCTTACTGATCTATCTCTCAACTGTTGATCAAAACTGCCTTGACGAGTAATGCTATTTTTCGGGAGGAAAATTCCGTTTGGAAACACAATCAACGATAGACTTTTAGAATGCGATTTCGTAATTCAAAGCGTGTTGACAAAACAATACTAAGCGAGAGGTAATTATTATAAAAATAATCAAAATTTACTTCAGTAGCAATGGTTTGAGGTAGGAAGTGGTGGAAGTAAACATCATCTTCTTTGATTGAAATAGTAATTGATTTTAAAAAAATGAATTACAGGCGGCGATCAGGTTGATGCCTCAAAGGGTATGATGAAAATGTGGGGTGGCAATCATGCGGCAAAGTATTTAATGCCTTTGTTAAGGTGTTTTCTTCATATAATTCACGATTTCCTTCTGTTTTTCTTCAGACAGCTAAACGAACACTGCATTTCCTTCGTACAAAACCCATTCTCCATAGAACGCCCGCTTTTTTTTCGTTTATTGAAAGCCATCTCAACGTTAAGAACTGATTTGTTGGGGACAGATTAGCTTCAAATTCAAAAGACTCAAGAGAGTGATGTGCGGAAATCATGCCTTCCTGGATTGTTAGTACTGCTGAACGAGTGTCACTGATTTTATGATTCCTTAATTTTGTCTTAAACTATGAATAATTAAAAACTGTAAGGAGCAATCTATTTTTACTTAGCATCGTTTCAGTGCAATTCAGATAGAACATTTTTTCAGTAAAGATAAGCGTATGACTGCAATGGCAAAAGTACAAGACGAAGCTGAAGCGCAAGGTATTGAAATACCGCCAATTTTCTCAGATTTAGACGACGACTCGGGTATGCCGAAAATACTGACGATCGACAACGATCGCAAAGATTCACAGATGTCTATTCTACAAGCAATCGACCACGCCAAGCACAGTATGCTTCATGTGCCCGCTCCTCCATCGTCCTCTTCACTCAGCCTCGTTTGCCTTGATGCCGAAATACAAACCGACAACCACGTCTAGTAAGTTTGAATTCTCCTGTCAAAACGTTCCCACTCATATTTCAAGCAGACCATTTCACCTCTGTCCATTACGAATTATCGTTCAAGAGTTGATTATTTATCAACATGCCTACAGATCACTTCCAGCAGTGATTCTACTGAGATGGTATACGTAAAGGTGTAATGCTGTTATTGCAACAACATATTTTTTGATTGATATACTAAAGTGATTTAATGAAGTGACGATAATCTCTTCGTCTTTTTCTGCATTTGGTAGGTGATATGATCTTGTGAAATTTTCAGTTTGGATAAAGAAGAGCAGACAGAATCGACTGAAATGCGTGACTCGGGTATTGATACAGAGATTAGATTTGCGAGCTATATTTGCACAGCAGTTCAGTGTGGTGATGGTGATATGGAGAGGATTAATGATGAAACGCAAACAGTGGTTATCGAGATGAACAGTGCGGAAGTGATGACCTATTGCGAGCCTTCCACTGTAATTTCATAATCACCTTTTCGAAAAGCACACCCACCCATTGCAGAAATCCTAATGATTAATGGCAACTAGAATAGTGTTCACGCTTAACGTTGAGAAATTAAACTCTTTAGCTGATTGATGGATGATATTTGAGCAAATTTTATTTTATCGAAGATATTACTTGCTTGCTTGTGTGCACCTGGTGTTTGTTTGTACACAAAATTGAGTTTGAGATCAGTTGTTCGCTGCGATGCTGAAAATAATTCAGTTCGTAACAAAAGGCAAAACATGAACTGAGCATGAGTCGAGGAACAATAACTATTTGAGAATGGCACTTTAGTGACGGTTTCAAGTCAGTGCAGCTCTTAGTTAGCAAGCATTACAGTTTGTTAGCAAGCATTACAGTTTGTTAGCAAGCATTACAGTATCTCTTAGTTAGCAAGTGTTACAGTTTGTGCGAAAAATGTTGAGTAATTTCGTTTTGTTCATTTTTCATCCTTCCAAATATGAAATTTGTTACGTATATGGATGACGAAGTAGAAAAATCAGTGTGAATCTGATCTGAACTGAAGTGTTGTAATTGCAGGTGGACGTAGTGCAAACAGATGATGTGCAATGCACAGATGCGGCCT